ATTTTTGACAACTTCCAATTTTCCCAGATTCATACTTCGTACATCCCATGTTCCGATTTTCAATGGATGTTTACAGCTGTTTCTCTTCATTTTGATTTGTAGCCCATTAGCAAATGAAGGTTCTGTGAGCTTTTCTCTACTTGGAGGATAGGAAGAAAGCAAAAGACAATTAAGCGGACAAGAAAGAAGGAGGAGATCAAAATGGTGACCAGAAAAGACTCTGAATCTTGCTCTCCAGCATAGAGATGGTAAAGCAAATGGAAAAAATGAGAAGGTAAAAGAGCTAAACAGAAAATTTCAAAGTGCAGCTCAAGAAGAAAAAGTCAAGTATTATAATGAAATGTGCAAAGACCTGTAGTTAGAAAACCAAAAGTGAAGCCAGGATGGTGAGCCTTCATTTGTAATACTTCCACCACGTTATCAGGAAGGATCAGTCTTTGGAGAATTTAGTGTCAGCAAAAAAGAGGTAAAATCCCAGCGACATATATTGACTCAGTGTCAGCAGCAGTGCGCTCAAAGGTAGCAGTGGTTGTGAGGTTTGTGCAGGACTGGGCAGTGTTTCATTCTGTTGTGCATAAGGTCATTATGAGTTAGAACCAACTTGAAGTCACCTAATAACAACAACAACAACAATCCAAATGCCTCTCTGTCACTTAAAGTAAGTTAATAACTACTCAAACAATTGACACAAATACTATAAATTATCCCCCACATCGTCCCCTATCACCGTAACTCTCAGATCAGTTGTATCCATCCATGTTCCTTATCTTTAACTCCAGAGAATAGCATTTTTGTTCAAAGCAAACTACTACATTAGGGCTACTGTGCCATATACTGTAGGCCACTTTTTAAAATTTTATTAACAAGTCATTGCCATCTTAAATAAGTCTCCCTTGACCTTGTGTCCTACCTTAGCTATTTCCTAGATACTTTAAATTCTTAAGATATTTTATGAAAAGTCATTCATACATATTTTACTATTTTTCCAAATTTTATGCTGAAATCACTCTGGAAAAATTTATAACCACCAGAATATCAAATCAAGAAACATTTTATAAATTACTATTGCACTGTACTTCTAGTTTCTATTTGAAAACTGTGACCCTTGAGTCAAAGTTTACATCACACTTCATGTCAGCTCTCTTCCTACCTCTCTGTTCCTTCCAGCAGCTTAATCTTCCATGGTGACTGTCCTTTTTGTTCTACCTACTCCATAAATGTTTGTCTTTCCCACAGTTCAGTTTTAAGCTACTGTTATTGTTGTTGTTGTTAAGTGCCATCAAACATGGGATTTTCAAGGTCTTAAATCTTAGTGAGAGCAGAAAGTCTCATCTTTCTCCTGTAGAGTAGCTGGTAGGCTTAAATCACAATCTAGCACTTATCCTATGGAGCCCTTGTGCTGCCTTTAAGGTACCAGTCTATTTACACACATTCTATAAGCTAAGTAATATGATCTGATTTTTTTTAAAATTTTAATTACACACAAGTTACTGGTTATTCCTACATTTATATTCTTTAGCTAATCTCTCCTCAGATTCTGACTCCTATAGCCATCTGCCTTAGACTCTTGGTGTGACATTGCAGGATAATGCACTGGACCACAAGGTTGTTTTAAACTGCATGGTCAGCAGTTCAAGATCACCGAAATCCTATACAGTGTCACTATGAGTTGGAACCAACTTGATGACACTTAACACAACATACCCATCTACCTAGTAAAAAAAACCCAACATGAATATCTTATAAGCTCTGCATACCAAGCTCACCTCCCCTTCCTCCCACAAATATCTTATTCCTACTTTGATCTTCATATAATAAAACCATCATCTACCCATTTCTTATACACCTAATTCATCCTAGATTCCTCACCTTTTTCCAATTACTCAACCAAATCTATCTTCAATGTGTAATCAATCTTTCTTTCCATACTCTGACCAATGTCATTATGCAAAACACCACCATTACTCATCTAAATAAACATTTATATAATTATATAATTGGCCATCCACCTCTACTATAGTGCCCTAAAAAAAAAAAAAAAAAAAACAGCCTAGAAGTTCCAATGCTTAAAATCATTTTTGACTCCCCATAGCTTTATTGTGGCATCATAGATCTTCTGTAAACTAACTCCTGCCTACTTTACTAGAAGCTTTTACTTTTGTGCTCTAGAAATTGTGTTCTTCAGTAATTTACATAGGCTTTTTGACTATGTGTGAAACAATGTCTCACATCTTGTTTTCACAATTGTCTTTCTAAATAAATTGTTCCTCTTCTCTACCCTTCTTCTTAACATAATAAGGTTTCTTCCCTCAAGATTCAGTTCATCTCTTACATCCTTCTAAAAAGCCTTGTGTGTTCTAAGATTTATATAATTTCTTTAGCATAACATCACATAGTAATAAAAACATTTCTATATTTATGTGTCTAAATGTACTTTCCAATATTATAAATTATTTTACTATGGATACATGCATGATTCTCTTAATGTATGCCTAGGATTTTGTCCAATACTTCATATCTAGTTGCTGGTGGTGGTGTTAAGGCTGTCGAGTTGATCCCAACTCATAGTGACCTTGTATAGGGTTTCCAAGGAGCAGCTGATCAGTTTGAACCACCGACCTGTGGTTAGCAGCCCAGTATTTATTCTACAACACCACACCAAGACTCCTGATACCATTAAATTCAAACTAAAAATAATAAACTATTCATAAAAATCATGGAAGTAAACTATTAAATTTTGGAAAGACAAAATACTTACTGCTTTTTGAGATGGACTAAATATTGCTTTTCTCCTACTGGAATGACATAAGCAACCTGCAACGTAAGTATCCAAAAGAATTTCAACAATAATACTTGTAAATAAGATATGTTAATTAAACTTTTTACTCTAAATTACAATTAAAAAGCCTGACTAGGTCAATAAAAATACATAAGCATTATATGAGGGGCTTCAAAAAGTTCCTGAAAACCTGAGGAGTCTAAACTGGGACAGGGGACTGGAAGGTGAGCTTGACTTCAAAGGTACAGCAGAGTGAAGACTTTTCAATCCAAGGCCATGGCAAAACATCTGAAGTTCATTGCCAGGACTGTGATGGTACAAGATGGAAATGTAGAAAGTGCATACAGGACCCTAAACAGAATCCTCACAATGGATGGGCTCATTGACAATATTAAGCGAAGGCGGTACTATGAGAAGCCTTGCCACAAGCGACAGGGGGAAAGCTATGAAACCTGCCGGAGGATCTACAACATGGAAATGGTTCACAAGATCAACTTCTTGATGTTAAAGAATTGGGCAGATCTGTGGTGGGGCCATTTAGGCACTTTGTTTCTCTCTTCTTTCTAGAACCTATTTTCGCTTTCTCTACAATAAATTCAATCACATATATGCAAGAAGAGCTGCATATAAGAGGTAATCCCACTAGTCATCAATGGACCCTCTCTTTTATTAAGTGAAAAAGAAACTGAGTCAAAAGTAGTCTAGAAGTGCAGAGGAAATACTACAACATTAGACTATAGCTACTATTTCTTTATAGCTACCCAATTTTTATGAAGCCCAAAGTAAAATCCAATTACTGGAAAAGCACCTGTTACTCTTTACTACACTTACTAAAGCACCCTCCAACTCACTCTTTTATTCCTTGTCTTCTTTCCCACCACAACTTGAAGTTCAAGAAGCGAGGAATCATATTTGTATTTGGAATAAATTCTGTTTCTAAAACACCCATCACTCTGGCTAGAGTGCTGGAATCCTTGCTCAAAGGGATCCTTACGATAAACCTAATGTTCATTCCTGTTTTCTCTCTTATTCTTATTTGAAAGCTAGAGGAGGGATGTAGGAAAAAGATGCAGATGTCTATTACTGAAATATTTGCAGTCTTGAAAACACTAAGGAGTAGTTCCACTCTGTCCTATAGAGTCTCTATCAATGGAATTGACTCTTAAGTGAATTAGAAGAGGGATAAGGGGCTCGGGTGCAGCTGATTAAAGTGTTGGGCTGCCAACCAAAAGGTCAGCAGTTGGAACTCATCAGTTGGAACTCTGAAAAACTATCAATCTGCTTCCAGAAAGATTTACAGCTTCAGAAACCCTATAGAGCAGTTCTACTCTATCTGCAAGGAACTCTGGTAGCATAGTGGTTACAAGTCAGTCTGCTAACCTTAAGGTCAGCTGGTTAAAGCTACCTGCTGTTCTGCTGGAGAAAGATGACGCTTTCTGCTCCCGTAAAGATTTACAGCCTCGGAAACCCTGTACAGGGTCGCTATGAATCAAAACAGACTTCACAGCATACCACCACCACTCTGTCTGTAGGGTTGCAGGGTTGCTATGAATCAGAATCGATTCCATGACAGTGGGAAAGGAGGGATGGTGAAGAAATACAGCAATAGATGGGTGGCAACAAAGAAGGGAAATGGGGAAGTGTTGACAGAAGAACCTAGAGCTAGAAATACTATAGCAATGTTATCAGGGAACTTACTTGAAATGCAACCACTCTAAAACTTTCTAAATGGACTGGGATCCTACAGTCTAGTCTAACAAGCCATGCAGGTGGTTCTGCATACAGGTGGATACTAAAGTCTGAGAATGATTGCCCTAGAGCACTCAAAGAGATTCCAGGTGGAGATCATTCCCCTACCTCCTCCTCTCCCCTTTTGCACCCCTGGGTATATGATCCTTGACAGCTAGGACCTGTCAGGTTGACAGCTAGAACATCTGACCATTGTGGGAAGACCAGCTGCTCCTCTTCCTCTCCTGATGTCTGTTTCCTCTGGTCTGGATCCCCTGATAGCCATGTTGCTATTATAAGGAAAGTTGGCGCCAACCATCTCAGAAGAACACAATCGGAAGGCAGAGGCAGCTAGCCCATCCCTCCTCAACCAGGCTGAAACCCTTTCAGCATGCTGTTACAAAGAAAATAAACAGCCACTGCCCAGCCACCTACCTCACCAGACTGCTAGTTTTTCAAATATTGCCCCCGGCAAAAAATTTTCCCTGACCTTATTTCTTTTAAATATCTCTTCTCCCTTTCACAGTTATTCTTCTTGACTGATTGAGGAGGGCCTACAAGAAGATACTCTGGAACCACTGTGGTTCTTGTCACTCAAGGTTTGATCATCTTTCCTCAAGTCATCAGCAGTAAGGTAAATAGTGAATAAAGCATATTACTGGACACTGCATGAATACTTTGCCCTCTGGAAACTAAAAATGCAGTTGGAGAAATTTTATATGCACTTACTCCTCACTTAAGGCATGCTGGTGTGGCGCTGTGGGTTAATGCACCAGACTGCAAAGCCGTTTGAACTGCAAAGTTGGAAGTTCAAGCTCACCAGCTTCTCCTCTGAAATCCTATACAGGGTCACTATGGGTCAGAACCAACTCGACAGCATTTAACAACTACTCACTTAAGGAGCTCTGGTAGCATAGTGGTTACAAATCAGGCTGTGAACCACAAGGTCAACAGTTCGAAACTACCAGCTGTTCCGAGGGAGAAAAATGAGGCTTTCTGCTCCCGGTAAAGATTTACAGCCTCGGAAACCCTGTATAGGGTCGCTATGAGTCAGAACTGACTCCACTGCACATAACCAATGATCCAAAACAAAAACCAGTAGTGTAGTGGTTACGAATCAGGCTGTGAACCTCATGGTCAACAGTTCAAAACTACCAGTTGTTCTGTGTGAGAAAGATGAGGCTTTCTGCTCCTGTAAAGATTTATAGCCAAAGAAACCCTGTGTCACATCACTATGAGTCAGAACTGCCTCCAGGGCACATCATCATCACCGCTCCTCACTTATCGACTGTCTCATTATTGGAGATTTCTCATTTACCACAGAAGTATAAACTTCCAATTATTTTGCACCCTGACATCTGGCAGTAACAAATGTTAAGATGCATGAGAATAACACTAACTGTGATGGTTAGAGTTCATGTGTCATCTTGCCTGGGTCATGATTCTTAGTGACTTAGCTGTTATTTGCTATATATTTGTCATATTATGTACTTGCATAATGTGCACATTATATAATGTGCATAGTATGTGTAGGAAACTAATGACTGAAACTAATATATGGTTTGCAAAACATATATAACCCATGCATTATTTGCATGAAGATAATGATGCAATTTGATAGTTATGTAATGATGTTGTCTTCCGTTGGTGATCTGATGTGGTCATCTTCCATTTTTTCACAATGCTGATTTTTCCACAATGATCAGCTCTTTGTAACCTAACCATGTTGATAAGTGAGGAGTAGGTATACAGGCTTTCTTCAGTTTTGTAATTTTTGTACAACCTGTACTTTAACAAGTTGTATATTAATACTTCTGCTTCACTAAGTTGGTTGTCAGTAACAATTTTGAATGATAACAGAACCAGGCCTTCACTTGGCTATATTTTCCTGGTCTAAAGTTGCTTCTGAGTTCCCTTCACAATACAGAGGGCGGGAATTTACTTAATCACTGATAAGTGTCCCCTGCTTATCCTAATCTGCAGTCCTGACCATTGTATGCACTCCCCAGGACTCTGAGCAGTGAAGGGGTTTTTAGCAGGTAGTCAGTTGCAAGGCTTCAAATGTAAAGAGGATAGGTAGTTGGCTGAAGTTCCAACCTGTTTTTGTTGTAAAGGCAGAAAAACCTTTCTCCCACTCCGTGCTCTGGGAAGCTAGAAGGTAACTACATAGTGCTTTCATGAATAGAAACTGCCCTAAACTTTTAATTCATGCATTTGGTTCAGCAAGGAATGGTTTTTTTACCCAATTACTGAGTGATAGATACAGTACTTACTCTCCTGATCCTGGGCACCATTGAAATCTTTTAGCAACTCACTGGATTGTCTGGTAGGCCTACTCTAGTCATAGAGTCTTATGCTTGTGTTCTGAAAACAAGTATCCCTTTAAACTTGGGATTCTGTTAAATAATTTGGATATTCTCCTTTCCAGTTTTTAACAGTATACTATAGGGAACATAAGGAGCTCTGGTAGCGTAGTGGTTACGAATCGGGCTGCAAGCCTCAGGGTCAGCAGTTCAAAACTACCAGCTGTTCTGCAGGAGAAAGATGAGGCTTTCTGCTCCCGTAAGGATTTGCAGCCTTGGAAACCCTGTACAGGGTCGCTATGAGTCAGAACCGACTCCATGGCACATAACAACAACAACATAGGGAGCATGGAGAGTGCTGGTATGGCACTGTGGGTTAATGCGCCAGACTGCAAAGCTGTTTGAACTACAAGGTTGGTGTGGTTCAAGCTCACCAGTCGCTCCTTGAAAACCTTACACAGGGTCGCTATGGGCCAGAACCGACTCGACAGCGCTTAACAACAACAACAACATAGGGAGCATGGAGTCCTGGTGTGGAGCTGTGGGTTAATGCACCAGACTACAAGCCATTTGAACTCCAAGGTCGGTGGTTAAAGCTCACCAGCTGCTCCTCAGAAACACTATACAGGGTCGCTATGGGTCAGAACTGACTCAACAGTACTTCACAACAATAACAACATAGGGAGCATGATGACTTTTTAGGAATAAGCATTGGACTGAGAGCCACAAGTTTGGCAGTTCAAGCCCACCAGCTACTCCATAGGAGAAAGATGAGTCTTTCTGTACCTGCAAAGAAACCCAATACAGAATCGCTATGGATTGGAACCGACTCAAGGGCACACATATGTTAACTGGCAAAGTCTATAGAGTAACTCACTGTATACTAACAAAGCAAATAATAGAATGATGTGTTAATTTAGGTAGTTGAAGGGAAAAGAAAATGTTAGCGTTCCCTCTATGTGCTAACTACCTATGTACATAACCTTTTATTTAGTCAAAAAGATTTGGCTTCATTTGTAATTTTGGCAAATTTTGTTTAATATAAGCCCTTATTTTTCCTGTAAAATGGGGATAATGGTGTCTACACATTTGTGGTGAGGTTTAAATGAAATAATGAATATCAAATA